TTTTACATTCTTTGAAGTTTCGGGAACATGGAATAGAATATGAATATTCTTTATTTAAAGAAGCTTGAATAAATAATAGGAATAATAGCCATAATTGCATTAATGTACCGCATTTAGTAGCTGTGGAATGGAGTTAGAATTTGTTTTGTGATCACATGCAGACAGCGCTGACAGCTGTTTTATATGAATGTGACGGGGATGTTGGAGCGATGGGGAGTCATTTTTAATTGACAGTTAATCCAGTTGCGGCTGGAGTTGTGTAGTGTCGCGATACGCGAAATAAGTGTATTAATGTGGTTTTGAGTTTTGAGATAGCTAATAGGAAATGATACCTGCTTCCTCCCGCGTACACTTAAATCGTGGAATGAACTTCCTGCCGAGGTTTTCTCACGAGACTACAGCATGGGGTTTTTCAAAAAGGGTATATTAAGGTTTCTTAAGTGTCGGCAACGCGCACGTGACACCCCTGATGCTTCAGGCGTCCATAGGCTACGGTAACCATTTACCATCAAATGGGCCGTAGGCTTGTTTGCCACCATAGTAGTATAAAAAAAAAAAAGTAGTTGTAAAATATATACATGTATTTGTTTATCGTCATAGTACTGGTGTTGGTCGCTCTCTAAATACTTTGGCCGCATTGCAGGGTAGCTTAGACAAATTAGCGTGTTTTAACTTTTACATACGTACTACAGTGCAACCTCGATAAAACAAATCGAAAAAAATATATATATATATATATAGTATATCAAGTAATTCGTTGAACTGAGATTTATTATGTTGAAGGTACGTTGGTCTAAACTTCGTTATAAAAAGGTAAAAAAAACTGTCGTAAGCTATTTCAACTTGAATCTTTAATAATAGTGACGAGCAGCAGTGTTTACAAAACTTTACATTACTTTCCATCGAACAACAATTATTGTTCTACGAACATAAGTACGTCGAAACATGTCCTGACATGAATCACATTTTATGAGATAAGAGATAAGTAGAGTTAGAGTCATACCATTGGTGGGAACATTATATAAAGGTTTTGGGTTAAGAAAATTCCTTAGAAAGAGGTGTTTTTCCAAATTAAAAAAAAATAATAATAATAATGTCGCAATGTAAAGGTATATTTTACATCGATTCTTATGGAAAATCCAAGGGATTACAAAGAATTAGTTAAATCAAGGAAGTCGTTATATACGAGGTATATTATTGTGAATGAGGTGCGTTATATTATGGCTGCACAATTATTATTATTATTATTACTAGATAATAATGTAAACCATGATGCATGACAGTAACAATTACTAACGATACATTATTGGAAAAAAGTGGTTCTGAGGATACTATTAGTATTCCTATACTTTAGATTAGAATTATTTACTGGACATTCTTGTGGAGTAAATAAATCTGAAATATGTTTAATATTAGTAGTCATAAATGTATATATTGTGAAAATTAAATGGATAAGAGTGGCGTTTAATTGTCTTATAATTATAAAATTTGGTGTTTTGCAGGAGTCCATGATTTGCTTATAAATTGACTATTGGCTCGGATGACCTTAAAGAAATTAGCAAAGGAAGAAAAACAATGAGCATAATACTAATAACCAATACTTAAAGAGGATGAATTAAGAAGTTCAATGGAGTTATAATGACGGTGACAATGGCATTGATATTCTAAAAAGGAGCTACAGAGGTAAGGTAGACTGGGCCGTCAAGCATTAAATTGCGTATTGACGGACAGGTTGCATTAAATTGCGTTGGCTGGGCCATCAGGCATTAAATTGCGAACTGATGGACAGATTGCATTAAATTGCGTTGGCTGGGCCATCAGGCATTAAATTGCGAACTGATGGACAGATTGCATTAAATTGCGTTGGCTGGGCCATCAGGCATTAAATTGCGAACTGATGGACAGATTGCATTAAATTGCGTTGGACTGGGCCGTCAAGCATTAAATTGCGTATTGGCGGACAGGTTGCATTAAATTGCGTTGGCTGGGTCGTTAAGCATTCAATTGCGTATTAACGTCCAGTTTGTGTTAAATTGTCTTTGGCGGGGTCATCAAGCATTGTATTGTGTATTGATGAATGGTGTCCTATTCATTAAAGGTAAATTGATAGAATGTTGCATTAAATTGCGGTTGAATATAAGTAATAAAAAATTGCCAGTTTTAATGCATATTAATTATCGGAGTGAAATGGAGCGGATTCAGTAAAATATAATAAGTCAAAAGTCATAGGACACACATTAATTTTGGTCGAAAATATAATTTCTATAACTAATATAATTGACGATTGCTGGAGTACGTAGAGTCGCTGTGGTGATATATGTGGTATATGTGGTATATGTCGATCGCTCAAAGACTGGTCTGACAACCTTTCCTAATATTTTAGCACTGAATTAATGCAGGTGATAAGAGAGATAATTTTGGTACGATGAAGAATGGTTATAGTTATACCCAATTAATACTATATGGACTGATATCAGATGTGTAGACAGAATATAGTGGAAAGTCGTTTGCAATTGTTGATGCAACTCTTGATATAATAATAATATTCTGATATACCACCACAGGACCCATCAATATTTTATGGAATGATAATAATAAATAGTGGGGAGTTTTGAAGAAATTCCAGATTGTGTTTTAGATAATCAGTTTTCAAATGTACATGATAAAGAAAAATACTACATGTAAATAACACATTGCATGAGACAGATAGAATGAAAAAAATATAAGTATTTACCTTAAACCTACAAAATATAAAGTAGTGACTACTATGATAGAGATATTCTGGTCATAAACATACAACATTTTTTCAGAAGTGCTTTATACTAATCTTACATAATATTACACAATAACAAAGTGGAATAACGATTATATGAAAACAAATATAAAAGAAGAAAGGTGAAGTATGTGAAACACAGAGTAAATTGGAGTTAATATATAAATGTAATTTATATTCGAAAGAGGAGGAAAAATCACGGTGCTGGTTACGCTGGAAAGGCCAATCGCACTAGAGGCATTCGGCTTATGTGTGGCAGTATAGTGTCAAAATGAGTCCACCATCGGTGTAACGTAGCACACATGCCTCCAAGGAACAAATACCTAATAGAGTGGATTGATTCATGCTTGAAAAGAAAATAAACTTAAAAAGGAGAGAGATGTAGTGTATGTGGAAACACTAGCAGTTTATTATCTATCGTCTCGAGCCGAGCGTACACGGACCGCCGTGCGCAAGAGGGAAGGGATTCCCTGCGCAAGCGCCGCGGAGTAAAGACGTGGAGCTATGGCTAACGAGCCGATATTACGTCGATAACAACTTACATACAAGAAGACATAAATAACAAATAAGTGAACACTATAAGTAGTTTTGGCTTGTAAGTGAGACAGATAGATAGACAGAGTTACTTTCACAGTTATAATATTAGTAAGGTATTTAATAAACTAACTCAAAAAGCCAATGAAAAAATGTTCATGCTTTTAGCTTCAAAAATAACGAACTTATATAAAAACTTTTATCCCCTATTCTATTGTACCCCCTTAAGTATAACATTTTTACAAACTTTAATGACCTATTTATTTATATTTAATCAACAGCCTCAAAAATAAGTTTCAAACTTCTAGCTTCTAAAATTACGAATGTACATAAAAACTTTTATCCCCTATTTTATTTTACCCCCTTAAGGATAACAATTTTACAAACTTTGGTGGCCTATTTATTTATATTTAATCAACAGTCTCAAAAATCAGTTTCTAGCTTCAAAAATGACGAATTTACATAAAAACTTTCATCCCCTAATTTATTTGACCCCCCAAGGGTAAAAATCATTTCTTCTTATAACATAACTTCTTCTTATAAAAAATATAATTTCTTCTTATAACTTAGGATAATGTACCGTAGCCTAAGGTCTAACTTGGCTAGTTTTCATATACGAAATATACTGTAGCCTTCGCAAGTTCTAAACATGTTACTTGTCGGTTCCTTTTTTATTAGTAGTAACTAACAATCGAAAGTAATAATTGATATATGAGAACTGGCCAAGTCAGACCTTACACTACAGTATATTATCCTAAGTTATAAGAAGAAATGATATTTTATATTGTTATAAATACATTTCAGGACAGACCATTGAACTTGGCACCCATTTAGATCTCCTCTCTTTTGTCGTAGAAGTCAACAATCAAGGCATATATCATAATATTAAACTCGGCTATCATTTCACATTTATGTTTTTGATGGGATATATTTTAGCGGCTAGATTGTTACCGCTATTATTTATGTTTGTGTTCGTCTGGTATGGGCAGCGACAGGTGGAGGAAAATGAAATAACGGGTCCAGTAGTGGCTAATGTACAAATGTAAAAAATGTTCTTGCGTTATTTACAATAGTTGCATGGTTTAATTATCTAAATATATGTATATAATTCAAACGTGACTGACGTAGTGATCTATCAACGCACAGCCCAAACCACTGGACGGATCGCGCTGAAATTTGGCATGCAGGTAGATGTTATGACGTAGACATCCGCTAAGAAATGATTTTGATTAATTCTTCCCCCAAAGGGATAAAATAGGGGATGACAGTTAGTATGAAACTTTGTCAATTTTTATCCGACCAGTTTGAGACTTTGTATGCATAAAGCTACTATGACGTAGGCATCCCCTAAGAAAAGATTTTGATAAATTCCACCCCTAAGGACGGCAAGCGAGCGAAGCCGCGGGCAAAAGCTAGTAATATATAAAACGTATGTGAACAGAGGCGATTAGGTCCCAATCTGACAGGCCGCCGCTAGGTTGCCGCGCGCTATCCGTAGAATCGTCACAATATAATGTATAATTCACAATTTCAGTGAATAAATAATAAGTAGCACTTTGTATAATTAGTATTTATTTATACCATTTTCTACATCAAATAACAAAAACGGTACATAATGTATCAGCTTATTATATTAAAAGCTACCCTAGTTTTTACTACGACTCACACCAAATTTGTTTGCTCTCTGTACAAAATGGTTTTAAGCCAACATAAACATGTTACTGAAGTATTATTGAGTAACAAATTAGATAAAGACTTTCAGTCAATGCTATTACCACTGGAACTCGCGAATAACTTTATTCTATTACCAAAATATTACATCCGTGATGATTTCATAACGCCCAAAGGAACTATTTCGAATTTCATCTCATTTTTCAGTACTTTCATAATAGTGATTGTGTATATTATTAATTATTTATACGGTATAGAATTTGGTTATGATTTTAATATATATTTCACGTTCGATTTTATCGCGTGCGTGTCTGGTTTTATTATTAATTTAATAATTAACATATATCAAACTTCAAACTCAGTACATTTGAATGTAAAATTACAAAATATTTTTAATATTCTCGACACTAATAAGACGGTATTAAAAAAGATTACACTCCTGAATTGGGTATACATGTTGAGTCTTTCTATTTTTTATTTGATTTATCTTAATATTTTGTATTTTTATGATATTGTCGATCGACTGGAGGTTATGACTTATTTAATATTAATAATTTTCGATTTGAATAATATATGTGCGAATCAGTACATGAATATGATTACCCAAGTACTGAATTTATGGCTGTCCGAAATACGGTGCAGTACATCCCACCATTTGAAGGATGTATTGAGAAACTACGAAGATATGATTGCAATGTATGAAATGCATTATAAAATATTTGGAGTACTGGTAAGTAAAACTGTTGTATTACAGTTAGTAATTTATATAATATCATATTAATACGTGAAACAATTCTTAAACCCTTTTTTTTTATGCGGATATCGTATTATGAATTTTCGCACACTTACAGTGAAACCTTCCTTTTGAATCACTCTACCTATTCCTAAAAACTACATTAAAATCCGTTGCGTAGTTTAAAAGATCGAATCGAAGAACAGCGAAAACTGTTCTTTAGACTGTGTAAAGATATAGAGAAGAAGTGCAGAATGCTAATATTATTTTTATTATACATAGAAAAACAATATTTTTCTTTTCTATTTTCAGGCGCTATATAATATTTTGACATTTCTACTTCATGAACTTTTATACGTGGACGATGTGATTTCAATATTCAAATATCTAATGGAAAATAAAAACTACGTAAGTTTTTTTTCTATTTCTACTTATTGCTGTTAATACATCATAACATACTGTTACTAAATAATAAAAAAAATAAATGGGTCCACCAGCACCTCAGTGGTCCAGCGGTTTAGCACACTGCCTTACTTCCGCTGGTCGCGGGTTCGATTCCTCGCACGGCACAAATATTTGTATTCATGAGTATGATGAAAAAAGAAAAATCAGAGGATATTTTTGAGTTTTGGTTATAAATTAAATTAATTCAATAATTCTCAGGTAGCGGACTGGGTCTTTGCCATTTCTATCTGCGTGTGGATTTTGAAGAACTATATCTTAATTGTTGCTCTTTGCATACAGTGCGAGAACTTTTATTCAACAATTATTGATGTTCAACTCTTCTGTGTCAGTCTTTTGAGGGAACATAATGGACAAACAGGTAAGAAAAAATGTACTATGATTATATATAAATGCGAGTGTCTCTATGTGCGTGTTAGTTATCTTTATAGTGATCATCATCATCATCATCATCATCATCTTATATATAAAATTCACATGTCATAATGTTAGGTGTCATACTCCTCCGAAACGGCTTAATTGATTTTATGAAATTTATATGAATTTCAGTAAGTCTAAGAATCGGCTACTATCCATTTTTCATACCCTTATCTCTTAAGGGTTCAGCCCTAAAATTTATTTTTATTTTTCAAACAATTTTTTTTATTATGTGATATTAAAGAATAAACATAACCCCAAATTTTCACTCTTTTACCATCAATCCCTATTTTTTATAATTGCAATTTATATGGCAAAACAAGATTTCCAGGGTCAGCTAGTATATCGATGTAAAAATAGGAGTTGAGGGTAATAATTTAGAGTTGCAAGTAATTTTTTGTGCCGAATCATAAAAAAAACTTTGTTTAAAAAAGTCGGAGTGGGGTCGCTATTATCACCATAAAATATATGCTATCCTATAATTAGTCCTTTCAGTACTACTGTAACTTCAGGCAGAGTCAGTCAAACCGTTTCAGAGAAATTTTGTTACAAACACAAGCACGAGAATCTAAATTCAATAGATTTCTTCATACCATAAACTACTAACAGTTAACGATATTTATATAACATAATATTCTTTTATTTTACAGATGAAGAAAGAAGAATTTTAAAGAATATCAAACGAATCAACGATACGGTTTTTCAAAAAGTTAACCTCTGCTGTATTTTTGTAATGGATGCCAAATCGATATTGCAGTTGCTTACCCTGTTTACTACATATACTATTGTCTTATTGCAGTTTGCTTTTCCATAAAGCGCAAGTAGAATAGACATTTCTTTTAAATGAACTACCTGCTAAGATTTACTATTCATTCATAATTTAAGAGCTACGCTCTTGTCGGTGGAGGTTTACTATACAGACTACAAAATGGGATTTTTCAAGAAGGGTACACTCCTAGTGTTTCAGTTATCTATAGGCTACGGTAACCGTTTATATCAGAATATCAGATTCATAACAAGTATACAAATATAATTTAAAAAAAATGCATTCTGCAGTCGTTCTCTTTATAAACTGTATGCGTGCGAAATTTCATACTAGTCCGTCCGCGCAGTTTTCGCATAGAGTAATTTTTTTTTTTGCTTTACGTATTAATATACAGATACTTTACTAATACATGTACTATGTATATGTACATCTTACTAGTATTATAATTGCGAAAGTTGTGAGTATAGATTGATGTATGGTTAGTACTCTTTAACGCAAATACTACTGAAAGGATTTTGATGAATTCTTACAGTAATATGGCTTCTAGTAATAAATAATCCCATCAAAAACATAAATGTGAAATGTTAGCCGAGTTCAATATTATGATATATGCCTTGTTGACTTCGACAGGTGGAGGAAAATGTAATAACGTGTCCAGTGGTGGTGGTGTATATAGAAATGTATATTCTTGCGTTATTTACAATAGTTGCATGATTTAATTATAATATATAAACCATATATTAAACGTATGAGAACAGAGGCGATTAGGTCCCAATCTAACAGGCAAGTTATATTTCGTCTCACAACGTCGCTAGGCAACGGTGTTGCCGCGAGCTATCCGTCGAATCGTCACACTATAATGTATAATTCACAATTTCAATATTTGTTAATAATAAGTAGCACTTTGTATTATTATTATTTATTTATACCATTTTCTACATCAAATAACAAAAACGGTACATAATGTATCACCTTATTATATTAAAAGCTACCCTAGTTTTTACTACGACTCACACCAAATTTGTTTGCTCTCTGTACAAAATGGTTTTAAGCCAACATAAACATGTTACTGAAGTATTATTGAGTAACAAATTAGATAAAGACTTTCAGTCAATGCTATTACCACTGGAACTCGCGAATAACTTTATTCTATTACCAAAATATTACATCCGTGATGATTTCATAACGCCCAAAGGAACTATTTCGAATTTCATCTCATTTTTCAGTACTTTCATAATAGTGATTGTGTATATTATTAATTATTTATACGATATAGAATTTGGTTATGATATTGATATATATTTCACGTATGATTTAATCACGTGCGTGTCTGGTTTTATTATTAATTTAATAATTAACATATATCAAACTTCAAACGCAGTACATTTGAATGTAAAATTACAAAATATTTTTAATATTCTCGATACTAATAAGACGGTATTAAAAAAGATTACACTCCTGAATTGGGTATACATGTTGAGTATTTCTATTTTTTATTTAATTTATCTTAACATTATGTATTTTTATAATGTTAGCGATCGACTGGAGGTTATGGCTTGTTTAATATTAATAATTTTCGATTTGAATAATATATGTGCGAATCAGTACATGAATATGATTACCCAAGTACTGAATTTATGGCTGTCCGAAATACGATGCAGTACATCCTACCATTTGAAGGATGTATTGAGAAACTACGAAGATATAATTGCAATGTACGATATGCATTATAAAATATTTGGAGTACCGGTAAGTAAAACTGTTGTATTACAGTTAGTAATTTATATAATACTAGCTGTCCCGGCAAACGTTGTTTTGCCTTAAAATAAAAAAAAAATTTAGGGCTGGACTACCCCTAACATTTAGGGGGATGAAAAATAGATGTTGGCCAATTCTCAGACCTACTTAATACGCTCACAAAATTTCATGAGAATCGGTCAAGCTGTTTCGGAGGTGTATGGGAACGAAAACTGTGACACGAGAATTTTATATATAAGATCATATTAATACGTGAAACAAAAACTGTGTACAGCTTATTTATTTGCGCGAATATCGTATTATGAATTTTCGCACACTTACAGTTAAACCTTCCTTTTGAATCACTCTACCTATTCCTAAAAACTACATTAAAATCCGTTGCGTAGTTTAAAAGATCGAAACGAACAGACAGCGAAAGCGACTGTTCTTTAGACTGTGTAAAGATATAGAGAAGAAGTGCAGAATGCTAATATTATTTTTATTATACATAGAAAAACAATATTTTTTTCTTTTTTAATTTTCAGACGCTATATAATATTTTGACATTTCTACTTCATGAACTTATATCCGTGGACGATGTGATTTTAATATTCAAATATCTAATGGACGATAATGACTACGTAAGTTCTTTTTTTCTATTATTATTGCTGTTAATCTAAATATATATAATGATATTTTCAGGGTTTCTTTATAAAATAAACTAAAATTTGTTTCTCTGTAAACAAAGAAATGTTTTATTTAATTTTAAACCACTACAATTATTTAACACTGTAATAATGAATCACACATATAACTCACCTGTAAACAAAGAAACGACATTTAAAGTTTATTACAATTATTATTTAACTATTACTGTCTTTTTATAATATATTTTATATAACCTTATTCACGCACACTTGTTTTTGCACGATCCATTTTTATGTTATTTCTATTGACAGCTCCCTTTGACACTCCTTGCAATCAACAGCGCGGAACGCGCCAAAATTTGAATTGTTGAAATATTTAATTATATTATTATAAAGAATTTCTTTATATCTCCCCCACCAGGGGTGAAAATTTCTCATAGAATTTTTTATAATGTATTGTCTTCATCATGTGCTTCACTATCTGTTTGAATAGGTTGTAATTTTGTTATATGAAATAAAGTAGATTCAGCTTTCTTGTTTCCAGTGTTAATTCTGTAAATTGAGTTTGAAATTTTTTCCACTATTTCAAAAGGACCAATTTTCAATTCATCTAATTTCTTTCTGTTTAATTTGTTTCCGTTTTCTACATATACTCTGTCTCCTATATTAAATTCACATGGCTTTCGGTTTTTATCAAATATTTTCTTATTGTAATCATGTGATCTTTTGGTGTTCTCTAATGCTAGTTTTTTGTCTTCAATCCACTGATCTTCTTTTTTTAGAACCTTCAGTTCATTTGGTAGGATGGTAACATTTGTGCCATCTAGTAAATATTTCGGAGCAAATCCTGTAACTGAATGTTCTGTCTCATTATATTTATCTATACATTCTCTAGCTACTGTAGTCCAAGTTTTTTTATTCTTTTTTTCATTTATTCTACACCTTATTTTATTCACTATGGTTTGATTTAATCTTTCATTCAGTCCATTCGAAAATGGTGTATTTACCGCAGTAAATACTAATTTAATATTATTTTCCTCAAGGTACTGTTTAAATTCTCTAGAGTTAATTCCAGGATATTGATCTGTTAGAATCATTCCAATTTCATCTGTTTCCAGTACATACTTCACTAATTTTATAAAGTCACATGCACTCTGTGTTTTTGATGTTACAATAAATGCAAATCTTGTAAAATGATCTACCAAAAGATGTAGATATTTTTTTGTAGATCTGGATCCCCCAAAACCACCAATTGTATCTATAGACATGATTTCAAATGGTTTCGTTGCTGGTCCCAGATGTGACATATATCCAAATTTTCCTTGTCCTCTTGATTTGTTTTTTATACAGGTTTCACAGTTTTTACAAATATTTATTATGTTTCTTGTTAAATGTTTCGCTGTATATATTGGGCTTACTTTCCTTTGTAACTGCCTTATTCCAAGATGGCATAAATCTTCATGTATTTGTTTTATAAGTTTCTTGCTAAATTCTTCAGAGAGAATAATTTTATACTGTTTTTTAATTTTTTTGTAATATATTTGATTTTTCTGTATAAAATTCTGTTTATTTATTTTTATTATTTCATTTTTATCTTGATCTGTCATTATTTCTTCTATTTTGATTAAATTCACTATTTTTAAAATCTCTTCTTTGTTAGATTCTGATTCTAATACAGGGTTTCTGCTTAAGGCGTCTGCTTCTAAATTTTCTTTACCAGGTATATATTTTATTACAAAATCATATTGAGATAAATAGTATGTTAGGTCCCCTAATTCTTCATCTGTTCTAGCCTTTATATTCATATTTTCAAGAGGTTTGTGGTCTGAGTAAATAATAAACTTTTTTCCAATAAGCCAGTGTTGCCAGTATTTCACAGCTTCTTTTATCGCTAAACACTCTAGGTATATTGCCTTTTTTCTTTTTTGAACTTCATTTAGCTTTTTTGAGAAATATGCCACTGGCTTATCTTTACCATCTGGTTGTGTTTGTTTCAGTATTGCACCAATACCTTCTAAAGATACATCTGTAAATATTTTTATTGGTAAACTCTTGTCATATATTTCTAATACTGGTTGACAGCATAAATACTCTTTTATCTGTTTAAATGAATTTTCACATGTTTCTGACCAAACAAACTTCTCGTTTTTTCTTAATAATTTATGTAATGGATCTAAAATTATTGCGCTTCTCGGTATATATTCATGATAAAAATTTATTTTCCCTAGGAATTGTCTAATATTTTTCTGGGTTTTAGGTGTTGGAAAATCTCTTACTGACGTTAAATTATCCTTTAGCGGTGTTACAGAATTATTTTGAATTATGTGGCCCAGATATTTCACTGAATTTGAAGCAAATGTACATTTCTTAAATTTCAATCTAAAACCTTCTTCTATTATTGCATCTAATACATATCTTATATGCCTTATATGTTCTTGAAAAGTTGATGAGTATATTAAAATATCATCAATGTAATTAACAGCATAGCTTGTCAGATTGTGTTTTCGTAGTATATTGCTAAGAATTCTTTGGAAAATAGCTGGTGATGTTTTTAATCCAAATGGTAGACAGGTCCACTGGAAGTGTCCATCTTGTGTTACAAATCCTGTCTTACTTCTATCTTCAATCCGTAATGGTATTGACCAGAATGCTGAATTTATGTCTAATGTAGTAAAGTATTTGCAATTTCTAGTCTTTATTATCAAATCATCTATCAATGGAAATGGTTGGGCTTGTGGCATAATAATTTTGTTTAGTTCTCTAAAATCTATACATAATCTTGATCTTTTATTTTCATCTTTTTTAAATGCTAGTGTCACCGGAGCTGCAAAGGGACTGTATGATTCTTCTATTAACTTATTCTTTAGTAACATTGATATCTGTTTTTCTATTTCTATTTTATCATCAATTGTGCATCGATATGGCCTTTTACTACAGTATCTATCTACTAGTAAATCTATGTGAGCTTCATAATCTTTAACCATACCAACATCATATTTATCTTTTGCAAAGACTGTTTTGTATTCTTTAATTATTTTCTCTATTTCTATTTTCTTTTTGTTGTCTAAATGATTTATTTTAATTTTAAAGTCTTCTACTTCTATGTGTTCGTTAAAATTTATTGAATATGTTTCTTTCATCTTGTCTTGACTTTCTTTATCTTTAGAGATTTTATCAATTTTATTCTGTTTTTCATTTATATCTTTTCTTTTCATTTGTTCTATTTTTAGGTTTTCATTTTGGGTCAATCTAAATTTCTGTATCATATCTAACCCGATTATGAAATCATCAAATTCTTCATTTTCAACTATGTATACATCCACCTCTTCTTCTAGTTCAAAAATCTTTATCTTAATTGTTATCAAACCCTCTGTTTTCTTTACACCATTAACCGTTCTCATGTATGCTGTATTCATGTTGTGTTTATTTTCTTTTACTTTGATTAGTCTTGAATTTATTAAAGAGATTTGTGAGCCTGAATCATAAATGCCACATACTTCTAATCTATCTTCTAATACAATATTGATCTTGATTAATGGTGTACTTACTAGTTTTTTTGCTCAGTATTTAAGTCTACTTCTATAATAGAGTTACTATTTACATTTTTTGTTCTAAGTATTTTCTCTTGTTCATTTTTTTTTATATTGAACCAACACGCTTCCTCTGGATGATATCTAATTCCTTTATTTAGTTCTTCACATGTTTTACATGACTTTCTTTCCATGGTTTTCATTTTAAAATTTAATTTACTATTTTTTATTACCGTAGTATTTTTTCTGTATATCATACTTTCATATTTTCTAATTTCATTGAATAAATCAGTGCTGTCTTTGATTTCTTCTCTGTTTATTTTGTTTAGGATAAAACCTGGGAGACCTGTTGCAATAAGATCTATCAATGTTCTGGAGTCTATAGATTTGTTAATGTCTAATATAAGGTGTTCCTTTTTCATCGCATAATCAATTAATAATCCTTCTTTATATCTGAATACAAATGCATATGTTACCGTATCCCATCCTCTATTCTTAAATGTTTCCAAAAATTTTTCTTTCCACTCTGTCCAATATGAATTTACTGTCAGTTTTGTGACCATAGAACTATACCAGTCTAAACAAGTTTTTTCTAAAAATAATCTTAATATTTCTATTTTTGTTTCATCTTTTATTATATTAAACCTCACACATTCCTTCTCAAAAGTCTCCATCCATTGAGTTGCATTTGAGTTCCTGCTTGTGAATTTTTCTATAATAAATTTCTCGGATATATTTTTTTAAATTGTGATGTTCTTTTTTTTCTGTGGATTCCACTAATCTATCCAGAATTTGTTGCAGATTGTTATCTTTTCCTGTTGGTTGTTCTATAGAAATTTCTTCTAAATATTGATCTAAAAATTGGATATTTCCGTCTTCGTCAACATAGGTTTGTTTTTGTTCTTCATTTAATGTTATCCATATTTTCCTAGTCTGATGTCTTTTCTTTAGGCTATTTTTAATCTTTATATAAGTACTCGTCTTTGTAATTTCTTTATGGTTATTTATTGGTTTCAACTCGTCTGGTATCGCAAAACATTTTCCGTCTTCTGTAGTTAGAGAGGTTATGGCTAGTACATTAGATTTGCCATCACTTGATGCTATCACTGTAAATTCAAATTGTAGCCGGTTCATTTTGTTTTTTGTAACAACAAATGTCGTTTTATAATGATATTTTCAGGGTTTCTTTATAAAATAAACTAAAATTTGTTTCTCTGTAAACAAAGAAATGTTTTATTTAATTTTAAACCACTACAATTATTTAACACTGTAATAATGAATCACACATATAACTCACCTGTAAACAAAGAAACGACATTTAAAGTTTATTACAATTATTATTCAAGTATTACTGTCTTTTTATAATATATTTTATATAACCTTATTCACGCACACTTGTTTTTGCACGATCCATTTTTATGTTATTTCTATTGACAGCTCCCTTTGACACTCCTTGCAATCAACAGCGCGGAACGCGCCAAAATTTGAATTGTTGAAATATTTAATTATATTATTATAAAGAATTTCTTTATATATATATAACTCAAAGGTGACTGACATAGTGATCTATCAACGCACAGCCCAAACCACTGGACGGATCGGGCTGAAATTTGGTATGCAGGTAGATGTTATGACGTAGGCATAAGAAAGGATTTTGATTAATTCTACCCCCAAGGGGATAAAATATGGGATGAAAGTTTATATGAAACTTCGTCAATTTTAAACCGATCGGGCTGAGACTTTGCTTGCACAAAGCTACTATGACGTAACCATGTCCTAAGAAACGATTTTGATAAATTCCACCCCTAAAGGGATAAATTAACGCGAGCGAAGCCGCAAGCAAAAGCTAGTACATCATAAGATACTGTTAATAAATGATAATAATAAAAGAATTAAATGGGGCCAACGGGAAGCACATCATCCATTACACAAGCTTAAGCTAGCTTAACCTGGGACTAGATGGCGATGTGTGAATTGTCCTGATATTATTATTATGATAAAAGCCTCTAAACGACTAAATATTAAAAAGAAGAAAAAATCTGTGAAATTTTTTGAGTTTTGGTTATAAATTAAATGAATTCAATAATTCCCAGGAAGCGGACTTGGTCTATGCCATTTCTATGTGCGTGTGGATTTTGAAGAACTATATCTTAATTGTTGTTCTTTGCATACAGTGCGAGAACTTTTATTCAACAATTATTGATGTCCAACTCTTCTGTGTCAGTCTTTTGAAGGAACGTAATGGACAATCAGGTAAGAAAAAATGTACTATGATTATGTATAAATGCGTCTCTATGTGTGTGTTAGTTATCTTTATAGTGATCATCATCATCATCATCATCTTATATATAAAATTCACATGTCATAATGTTAGGTGTCATACTCCTCCGAAACGGCTTAATTGAAATTATAAAAATTTTATATGAATTTCAGTAAGTCTAAGAATCGGCTACTATCCATTTTTCATACCCTTAAGAGATAAGGGTTGTCCAGCCCTAAAATTTATTTTTATTTATCAAACAATTTTTTTTATTATGTGATATTAAAGAATAAACATAACCCCAAATTTTCACTCTTTTACCATCAATCCCTATTTTTTATAATTGCAATTTATATGGCAAAACAACATTTCCAGGGTCAGCTAGTATATCGATATAAAAATAGGAGTTGAGGGTAATAATTTAGAGTTGCAAGTAATTTTTTGTGCCGAATCATGAAAAAAACTTTGTTTAAAAAAGTCGGAGTGGGGTCGCTATTATCACTATAAAATATATGCTATCCTATAATTAGTCCTTTCAGTACTACTGTAACTTCAGGCAAAGTCAGTCAAGCCATTTCAGAGAAATTTTGTTACAAACACAAGCACGAGAATCTAAATCCAATAGATTTCTTCATACCATAAACTACTAACAGTTAACGATATTTATATAACATAATATTCTTTTATTCTACAGATGAAGAAAGAAGAATTTTAAAGAATATCAAACGAATCAACGATACGGTTTTTCAAAAAGTTAACCTCTGTTGTATTTTTGTAATGGATGCCAAATCGATATTGCAGTTGCTTACCCTGTTTACTACATATACTATTGTGTTATTGCAGTTTGCTTTTCCATAAAGCGCAAGTAGAATAGACATTTTTTTTTAAATGAACTATCTGCTAAGGTTTACTCTAGAGACTACAAAATGCAGTTTTTCAAGAAGAGTACATCTCTGGTGTTTCAGATATCTATAGGCTATGGTAACCATTTACTATCAGAACACCGTATGCTTATGTGCCAACATCGTAGCATGAATAAAACATACAAAACATCGTAGTGTAGTCGCCAAACAGTCAACACTAGGCTTCCAAACTTTACTCAAACTCTATTTATTGCCTGAAGATTCTTGGTTTAGAAGCAAAACAAGTTTTTTTCGGCCTACTAAAATGCTGCTGATCCCAGTTGGCCTTTACGGCTTCACCAGACGATAGTGGGCGACTGCAGATGGACACTTTAAACATAGGGAAGGAAATGTGGAGCGGCTAATAGCCAACTGCCGCCTGACCAATACGACTTTAGTCTGAGGGCACCGCTAGGGGGTTCGAACCTCGGCTCAGGCCGTCGTAACCCCGTTTGAATTGGACGGGGGATCGGTCGTAGGAGTGCACGACAAAAGTATAATTGAATAAGAATTACTACTATACGAAACAGATAAACACTTCTCATAATGGATGTCTGTAGATCCAACAACGGTCGGATTTTTATCACTAACCTATACCTACATGTAAATAAAATTGGAGTGTCTGTTTGTAATGTTGAAATAACCGTTTTTTACTACATGCATATGAATATAAATACGGTACTTACACGAAAATAACATTTTTTAATATTTTTGTCTGTCTGTCCGTCTGTTTGTTCCGGCTAATCTCTGAAAAGGCTGAACCGATATATATAAATAAAATTAGAGTGTCTCTTTGTGATGTTGAAATAACCTTTTTTATATGATTGTAATATTAATATTCATTCATAACAAGTACACAAATATTTGGAATCACTGCATTTTACAAAAATTTTGAATCGATTGCCTTGGTCTAGCGGTTTAGCACTGGGCTTTACTTCCGATGGTCGCGGGTTCGATTCCACACACTGCACAAACATTTGTATTCATGAGTATGATTATTTGTATCGATGTGGGTGTTTTCTATGTATATTACGTATGTATTTATAATAAAAACAGATATCTAGTACCCGTAACGCAGGTTTACCGTGGGACTAGACGGTGCTGTGTTATTAGTCTAGGGTTATTTAGTTATTATTATTTGATTACCAAACTGATGAAATGCTGTAAACAGCTTACATATCATACTGCTTAACGGCTGAAATAAGTAATTCACTAAAATACACGTGACTGCATTGTATTCTTAATCTATCACTTTACATTTCACTAAACGTCCTCGGCGTAACTGCAATCAGAGTTTAAAATTAGTAGAAATCCGACATACATATCACAATATTTATACTGAATACTAAAACACATGTGGATTGAATACTAAATTCATACGGGAACAAGGCGTTAGAAATATAACAAATGATATTGCATATTGATGAATACTAGTGGTCGCGAAATGGTCGATATTCCATTCCGAAAGACCATAATTAATTTAAATTAAAACATATATATTGAGCGAGCGGTATTTCACTAATAATATATATGTTTTTATTTTAATAAATGAATTTATTATAGTCGTGTTTGACATTCAGTAATATCGATCTGTGTTCAAATTGAGAATAGATTCATATTATCGACAAATAATATGAATCTGTTCTCAATTTGACCACAGACTTTAACAATAAACAAAAGAGCATATATGCCTATGAGTAACAAACAGTTATATGGTAGTATGCGTAATGGTTTTTTATTGATTTCATTCATTTTTTATGCATAATTAAAAAAAAATGCATTCTGCAGTCGTTCCCTTTATAAACTGTATGCGTGCGAAATTTCATACTTGTCCATCCGCGCAGTTTTCATATAGAGTCAAAATCTTTTGTTTTACGTATTAATATATAGATACTTTACTAATACATGTACTATGTATATGTACATAGTACATGTATTAGTGTATTATAATTGCGAAAGTTGTGAGTATAGATGGATGTATGGTTATTACTCTTTAACGCAAATACTACTGAACAAATTTTGATGAATACTTACAGTAATATAGCTTATAGTAATAAATAATGATCTCATGACATTTCACACAAATCTAGCTAGTCTCAAGTTAAACGCAGCTTGTGTTATATGTACTAGACTACTAGAAAACTGTTGACCAGCGTGAAATTTATAACCTATATGTTATTCTGATATCTATACATATACATAAAATTGGAGTCTGTTTGTAATATTGAAATAAACGTTTCTTACTAAATGCATGTGAATAAAAAATGATACATACACCAAATTAACATTGTTTGCAGTTTTTGTCAGTCTGTTTGTTCCGGCTAATCTCTGAAATGGCTGGACCGATTTTGACGATACTTTTTTTGGCAGGTAGCTGATATAATGAGTAACGAAGGCTACTTCTATTTTAGAAAAAAAAATTTAGAAGCGCGGCCGAATTCGCTGGAACTTCTAGTCTGATGTATATCCGTTGAGTAGAGTAGTTTTTGCGTGCCAGTATTTATTTATTTATTTAATTAACACAATATAAACTTACAGCTAATTGCCAACACGTTTATATTTTAAAACTATTTATACTACTTAAAATTATATGATGATAAATATATTCTTATTTTAGTAATTATGGATTATTATATTATAACAAATATCCATCCATACTCACAAACTGTCGCGTTTATAATATTAATAAGATATGCAAGTAAATTCATAACACAGTTAGTTTATAATAAGTACAATTGCGTGTATGAGTATTTAGTAACAGGTGTGACCAGTGTTTGACGCATGCGCGGCGGAGCATACGAGGTCTCTACAGGCAATGGCGCGGAACAATTGATCAATTTATTATTATGTTAATGTCAGGACATAGTGACCTATTAGTTTACTAACTCAGACAGTTTGATACTACCAAATGGAATGGAATGAAATGGAAAATCTTTTTGTACGTACATCTATACATATAAATAAAATTGGAATGCCTGTTTGTAATATCGAAATATCCATTTATTACTACATGCATATGAATATAAATACGGTACATATACCAAAAAACCACTTTTTTTAATTTATGTTTGTCTGTCTGTCGGTCTCTTTGCTCTGGCTAAACTTTTTAATGGCTGGACCGATTTTGACGGGGATTTTTTTGGCAGGTAGCTGATGTAATAAGGAGTAACTTAGGCTACTTTTATTTTATAAAAATTGGTTTATTATATTTTATTTAATGTGTGTGTATAAATATATAGATAACCCTGGACAAGTTACACTGCGTTATCCAGTTCTAAACCAAGCAGAGCTTGTGTTATAGATACTAGATAACTAATATAAATACTTATATACATT